ATAATTTAGGACTGACTAAAAGTCCCTCTCTCAAATATGTATCTCCACTCAGCAATGACAGGCTCCCTCCCAAGGTCATTGTATACAGCAAATATGTCATTGATCCTTAAAAAGGATAAAACCCCTGACAAGTGTGGCTCTTATCGCACAATTAACTTAATCAAGGTTGACTACAATCAACCTTTGTAGTTGGTGAGGGCTTGGAGGTCTCCACACCTGGCGGGGGTTGTTATCCATGAGGAAGCCGTCTGTCCTCCTCCTGTAGGCCTCCTTGGCCTGTTTGATACCTTCCTCAGGTTGGCTGTGGGAGCGCTGTACATGGAACTGTCCCTCAGCCTGAAGGCTGAGTTACGAGATCTGATCCGTGCCTGTACTTTACCCATCATCCAAGGTTTTCGGTTATGAAAAACAGATGGTTTTAGTCATTATCACATTCTCCACACAACACTTAATACAGAAAAGGACAAAGTGAGTGCAGGTTTCCAGGTCCCGCTGTTTGAAGGTGGACCAGGCTGTCAGATCAAAACAGTCCTGTAGCTGGAGGCGAGTGTCATTTGGCCATGTTTAATGACCCAGGTACCTGGAGGACTAAGGCGGGTGTAGGTAGGGATAAGGAGCAGAGAGATCAGGTCAGATTGTACTAGGTGGGGGAGGGGTGTTGCTCTGTAGGCCTGTTTGATGTTACTGTACACATGGTCTAGTGTCCCGTCCCGGCTGTAGTAAATCTCTGATTGCAGCTCCTCCCATTTTGTTTATGAGGAATCTCACGTTTTGTGAGGAAGATGGATGGAGGTGGGGGTTGTGCTGTTGTTTTTGCAGCTCAATAGCCAGCCAACACAAAAAAAGGTGCACAGTATTTGGGAGTGCTTCACATCTGCATATTTCTGTCCCCATCTTTAATTAACATATATCAGTGTGACGATGATTACTCTGACCTGTGACATCTAAAGATTGAACTGCAAGGGTCTGAATAGAGTTAAGACTGTTGGAAGGAGATGATGGTATTAATATGTCACTTCTACCACTGTATCTGTGTGGTCATGTTCAGCCTCATGTGTGAAAAGAGGATCTTTGAAGTGATCAACTCCTCTCGTCATCCATTCTTGGTGAACCTGTACGGCTGTTTCCAGACTGCAGACCACGTGTGCTTTGTGATGGCCTACTCGCCCGGAGGAGACCTCATGACGCACATTCACAACAGCCTCTTCAATGAGAGTCAGGCTCGGTGAGCTCATGTTTTTTCTGTAAAACCTGCCGTTACAATCCAGGATAGTGCTGTTATTTCTACCACTTCTCTGATTTTTAGGTTTTTCTCCTCGTGTGTGCTTCTGGGTCTAGAGTTTCTCCACAAAAACAAAATAGTTTACAGGTGAGTCCTTTCAAGG